GCATCTCCTTAAAATAAAATAATGCATTCTATGGCCTTTCTCTGTGTACTTTTTAACACTAGCTAGCCTTGTTTTCCCCCTGGTCTTGTCTGACACAATTCTTTGCCACTCGGCACTCAGAAAACTATTTAGCTTGGTAAAATTCTAATTTCTTCTCCAAGAGGTTTGGCTTTACAACATGGAACTCTACAGGGGAAGCCACCGTCGCCCGCACAGTTTGATCGACAGCTGATCTCAGACCTACAGCACTCCTCCCTCAGTCAGTCAAGTGAAGTCATGGAAGAATAATCACTTTGCGGCGTGAAGCGGGCAAATGAGAAGTGGCTTTATATTTACACACAGGTCAAAAGTGTGTGAGCGATTGAAGAGTTTTATGTTATTCCCAGTCAGTTATGTAAATGCTGTGGAAATTGGCGCAGTCAGGCTGGGAGCTGGAACCTGGCTGTGTGTTGATTGAGGGCCTATAAAAATGGCATACACTTTTTGAAACGGCTTTCAAAGGCAAAGGAACGATTTGTCATATATTTCCCCTGTGACTATAGAGCCCAAAAACAATCATTCTCGCGCCCAATAAAATGCAAAACCAAATGTCAAAACACGTTGAAAGAAAAGTAATGAAACAGCTGTATAATAATGTTTTTTTTTTTTCTGTCAAACATTTGATAATAATAAATGTGTGCATTTCAAACAGCAGGAGAGATGCAACATGATTTCTCACTTAAAAAATAAATATGCATACATTTTATATAGTGCTTTTCTGGACGCTCAAAGACATTTCACACATCATTATTTGTTCACTTCATACACGTTGGTCATAAACTACTACTGTAGCCACAGTTGCCCTGGGACAGACTAACAGAAGTGAGGCAACCAGATTGTGCCATTGGTCCCTCAAACCACCACCGAGCATTCACAGACACACCAGACTCATACTGTGGAAGAAGTGCCTGGTATTCCCAGAGGTCTACCATCACAGTATTAACCAGGCCCTGCCCTACTTAGCTTCAGAAGTTTGACATGTGGGTTTGGCATGTTTTTGTGTGCTGTCCTAAAATAAATAAATTCAATTCAATTTAGTATTAGCTTATTGAGGCTAACCACATGTCATCGCAATGTTGACATATCATCAGCCCGGAATTTCCTTCTGTTTTATTTCACCAATTTCTTGATGATTTGTGGAGAGAAAATTTAAGTTTAGATGATGTACAATACTGGATTATTTCTGGGACGACTGCTCCATTCTCGTGTGATCGAGTGCCTCTCCGAGAGGTGACTGTGCAAACATGCAGCCAATGAGTTTCCCAACCTTCCAGAGCGTACAGAACCACTCAAACAAACATTTATCGCTAAATTCAAGGAGACACGTTCATTTAACTTTTGTGAGCTTTTAAGCGACTTTTAATTTGGGTCATTATGAGCGGCGTCCCTGAAGTGTCGTTTCATTCACATGTGTTTAACGGATGGTCTTTTGGATAACTACGACTTTGAACAGAGACGCACGCTTGGCTTCGTTCATTCTAAGTGAGCTGTTCAGATGTTAGCCAAAAGCCTCAAAAAGACACTTGGAAGATTTCAACTATTTTAAGATATTCAAATTTAATATTACTTTTACTGAGGACGAAATAGACTTTGTGCATCTCATGGCTAACACTGGACATTGTGAGACAAATGGATGTTTTTGTTAGTCACCGGCAATTGAAGCTAAGCAGAGCTGGTTAGTACTGTGACGGGAGACCTCTTGGGACACCTGGTTATGTTTATCTTATCTTTTCTCTTGGAGTGATAGAACTAAACTGTTTTTAGAGCGAGGAACTAGTAACATGGATTTCATTACATAATTCCATTTTATTTGGGATGTATGAAATGTAAGTACCCAAGCTTTAAATCTGTCTTTTGTCCAAAACATGGCCTGGCCTATAACAGGTAGTGAAACAGATTGCAAGACAGTTAAATAAGTTAAGTTTATCATCCCACAGTGGGGAATTTTCAATGTTGCAGCGCACACACAGGACAGAAGTAAGAGCACAGATTATTCTTAAGATAACAGGCTAGTTGTTGTTAGCTTTACCATGACAGAAAAACTGTGCGCATATAAAATATTAATCCTGGAATTTCTGAAGCTGAACAGTTCTTTTCTGTTCTGACGGTTAAGGAGGGCAATGTTCTCTGTAACCTCTTAATACATGCCTACTTTCGGAAATACACTATTCAAAGAATGCTCACTTGTTCGGCCTTCAAGTAGTTAATTCATCTATGAACTTTGTTGCTTTACACAAACCATCTGTAAATGTGTTTTAATGATTCACATTAATAAGAAATGAGGAGGTTGAAATAACATATTTGTTGTAAAAGCAAAACCACTCTCTCAGTGCAGAGCAGCGTCATGTGGAAACGGCTCTGTGTGAGGGTCCAGACCCGACAGTTTCACGTCATTTTAAGTGATTCTAATAATGTACAGAACCATACACGTCATTCAATAGTAATCAAAGTATTTTGTATTGGATTAATTGAACAAGAGCTGAACTGGCGGCTTCTTGTCATGTGTTGGATCAGGGGTGACAAACTAATTTTGGTTGAGGGCCAAGTTAAAAAACAAAAGAGCTGGTTGGGTTACTTATGGTTGGTTACTTATAATGACATGGCTCATAAGCCTGAGTTTGACTTGCATGTGTTAGATAATACATTAATTAACAAGCAGATTTGGGACCTTTTAACAAAATGAAAGGGTTTATTGTGCTAGTCTCTCTGCAATTGTTGAAACTCCCTTTTGACTTCCTGTTAAACAAAAGAAAATCGATATATATGGATGACAGGTGTCCACGAAAATCGCTCCACCAATGCCATGCTTGCTCTCTCTGCTTTATATCCATTGTATTACTCAAAGCATCGCCGCCAAAGCAAACACTTCTCATGATGTAATGCATGTTCTACCTCACACCACCCCACTTACCATTCCCAGCAGGTTGCTCTGATAGCCTGGGCTGTTTTCCTGTTGTCCTCAGGGGTTCGACTCTTTCCTTAATGGTTCCCTGGTTGGGTTCTTGAGACACACACACACACAGACACAGAGAGATGGGGGGGTAGGCGTCACCATGGAAGTCATTTGTCACTGTGTCTCTAAGTGCTCTGCTGCCTTTGACACCCTAACTACCTGATAATGGCTCATCTGGACCAAATCTGTGGCCGAACGCTCCCCTTTTTCCTGTTCTGGTCTCACGAAACTTAATTATCACGTTTTGAACCTGGGATTATCGGACCGACGGGGCTGGAACCTCTGTCCCATGTGTTGTTGGAATGCAGGGGTCTGTTGTGTAGTTCACGGTGGAGTAATGTAATGCAGAGAAAAGGCACTTGATCATTTTATAGGACACATGGGGAAGCTGTTTAAGTTGACATTTTTGCAGCATATAGAGCCTTTTTGGCTGTAAGTCAAGACAAGCATGCATTTATTATTCAATGGAACGGCAAAGTGACTCGATTGCTATTTAAAGTCAGTCATTAAGCTGAAGATGCATGCAACTTCTCAGATGAGGAACAAAACTGGTTTGCTAATGTGATAGTTAGGAATGAAGACATTTAAAAAAGGTTAATGTTGCGGAATACCTTGATGAATAGCGATGGGGAAGGTTTAGTTTGAATGAGAAGGAGGCAGAACCAAGATCTCCACTGTGTTATTTGTATAGCTTGTCTTTTACATCCGTGGCTAGTTTACTTTTTACCATCAAGGAGGTATTGTGAACAAATAATAATAATTTTCATTTTTTATTTGTAAAACTTTTGCTCTGTTCTGCTTGGATGGTAAAAGAACTGGACCGATGGTAAAACTACTGAAGATTGAATGTGTTATCTTTGTCCAAGAGGTAAAGGGGTCAACAGTGTTAGTCTGTGTGTCTCTGAAGAAGGATTTGAACAACATTTTCAGGAAAAACAACCACTGATTTCTGTAATTTGAGTGACCATCTGGGTGCTCAATTTTTGAGTAGCTTTGAGTATAATAGATATTGTGCTCATTTCCCTGAGAATATTACCTTTTACAATGAGGCATAACATTCCATTGTAGTATATCAACCGGATCATCCTCAAACATTTGGAGATGGAAGACTGACAGGCCATGATAGATAGATAGATACTTTATTGATCCCCCGAAGGAGAAAAGCAGGTGTCCAGCAGCAGAAGACTCATCCAGGTTTGTTGTACAGTCTGACAGCCGAAGGAACAAAGGATCCATGTCCCTGCTGTCAATGGTGAAATAAGTTTTAAAGCAACACTGACAACATCTAATCAAGTAAAAGGCCCACAGTTTACCACAGAAAACAGTGAGTGTTTTTTTTGTTATGCTGTATGAAAAATACAGTGTGAGATAACTATTATTTCAAAATCATAAAATATCAGTTCAGCTCTAGTACTTATGCTCATTAAGGTTGGCATAAATTTGACAATTTCACATTCTTGCAATAATATTTATTATGGTCTACATATCAACTAAAGTCTTTCAGGACACAGGACCTTATTACAGGACAAGAAATAATTATTCTCTGAAAAGACGACTTCTCACATGAATCGCCGTAGAACAATTGTGAAATGGTAAAAAAAAAAAATAATAATACATTAATTATCACAATACTTGCATTGTGTGTAAAAAATTGTGTGTAAAAAATAAAATAGCAATACTGAACGGAATCCATTTTTCCCCCACCACTAACGATCATTCACGGATTTGTACAGGCGGCTAATCTTTCAAAATCGGCTGGAGTAAATTGTCCGGAGCATTGATCCATTTGGAAGTCCCTGACTGAGGTCTGGGGGCTGTTGCACTTTTTATGCTGATGTGGGAACGACTCATACGTCTTCTCCCTAAATGTTTAAAGATTCTACCATTTGTTTTAGTTCTTCCAGTCAATGACATCTCACTCCATGATTCTTATCAACTGCCTGCCCTGCTACGTCTAGTCTGAGGAAGACATAAAACAAACTGGACTGAGCCACACTACAAATAAGGAATGTCCATGCGTCTGGAAAAGCCGACCGGACACACAGATGGTATATGGCTTTGTGTAGACGTCCAAAATGACTCCCCCCTGTCGCTGTGTATTAATATTTCTTGTTCTGTTTCTGCTTTATTGCGTGTTGCGCCAAAACTCCCAGGCCATAAATCCAGTGTTTATTCCACAGGTGCTGGTCGACCTGAGCCGCTTTGACTTACAACCCTCCGAAAAAGCGCTTCGGGGAATCCGGACTTTATGAAGTGGCTCCTCTTAGTGTAGTATTATGTCTTACAGCGCCCGGGAAATGAAGACAGTGTTTAATATGGAGCAGATGCACCTATACAGTATTTACCCTACATTTTCAAATCAATCGACATAAGCCTAAGGGACTGATATATTGTATATTCTCTACTTACCCGCTTTAGGTGAGAATATGCATCGGAAATAAAAGATGGATGTGAGAATTTCTGCAAAACACCAGCCATAGACTGTGGTTAGTTGTTTTTATCATTCTTAACATCTGAAATATGACCGACAAACAAACACATATTGGAACAGAAATAACATACAATTTATCTTCTGTTTAGGGTGTAAGCTTTTACACAAAATTATATTTATCTGGCATTCAGGGAAAACCCAGTAGTCAGGTGATCAATAAGGATAACCCAAAATGCACCACTGCAAGAAAAGCTATTTATAAAAATAAAATATAAATACAATAAATGTACCAAAACAGGAAATGTAGACATGACCTAAATGAGACGTGGTATCAACAATTATGGAACAGGAAGTGCCATATGATACAGGGTTTAAATACACAGGACTACACAGGTGCACACAATGTAAGGTGACAGCAGTACAGTGAAGTAAAGTGACGTATGATGGGCAATAAAGTGACTTTATAAAGGGCGAGGGGACAGGTTAAGAAGTGTTCAAGAGTCCAACAGCAGAGGGGAAGAAACTGTTCATGTGGCGGGAGGTTCTATTCCTGATGGACCGCAGCCTCCTGCCTGAGGGGAGTGGTTGGAATAGTCCATGTGCAGGGTGAGAGGGGTCGGCTGTGATACGACCAGCCCGGCCTCGAGCTCGGGCGACGTACAGGTCCTGCAGCGATGGAAGGCTGCGGCCGATCACTTCCTCTGCAGAGCGCACAATGCGCTGTAGTCTCTGTTTGTCCCTGACTGTGGCTCCAGCGAACCACACGGTGACGGAGGAGGTGAGGATGGACTCGATGATGGCCGTGTAGAACTGCACCAACATCTGTGCAGGCAGACCAGTATAAAAGGAAATAAAACTGTTACACTCGTGCAAAATAGACAGACATGCTGCTGTATCATCTATGACACCAGTAAATCAAACCTTAATATTGATGTAAAATAATATTCTAAAATAAACTTGTAATTTGCACTTCTGGACATTTATGGACATGTATTAACTTGGTATGGTATGGTATGTACTATTTGAACAGAGACAGTGTACAGTTAAACATTAACACTAAGGAGAGATGCACTGTACCAGGTTATAGCAAAGATGCTAATTTCCACCTGTAGTCCCTGGGCAGGCTGGTGTTATATTCATTTCAACAGATTATAATGTCGATGGATACATGACCGTGTCTTACATTTACAGACTTTAAATAACATAATTCATAAAACAATACATTTAATACCAATAAATATACAAATATTTACGGACAGTGGTCGTCCCATTCCCTATGAACCAATGGCTTCTAAGTTTTTGATTTTTTCCTGTGTTCAAACTGTTTAATTCTCTGATCTATTGTTGAGGAATCTACAACTTTGTACTATCCTCAAAGACCCCCCTTTTGAAACTTTCTGGCAATGCATCAGTTTTCTAAAGACACTCAAAGACGTTTCACATGTCATATCACCACCGTGTGTGTAGAGTGGGTGAATTAAGTACAGTAGCCACAGCTGCCCTGGGTCACACTGACAAAAGTGAGGCAATAGTAAGTGCCATCAGCTGATTCGACCATTCACACACACCAGACTCATTCAAGGCAATGTGGGTGAAGTGTCTTGCCTAATGACACAACAAGAGCACCTTACAACCGCACCAGGAATTCCCAGAGGTCTCCCATCAAAGTCCTTACCAAGCTATGTCCTGCTCAGCTTCAGAGGTCTGACTGAGGCCTAACAACTCCCAATTTTCTCCCGGTTCATGTGTTCCTCGTCAACTTCAGCGCCGCCTCGCGAGGACCGGAGCCGCTAGCGCATCTATGCTAAGTCACTGAGAGAGTGTTTGGGCTCCTCCCTGTGGTTCCTCTCTCCTTCTGTTCCCTCATAATCAAAGATAAACCACCAGCGAACATATTTTTACAGCCTCACACCAGGTCCCAATTGTGTGTGCCTGCTGCGCACAAGGTTGCAGCCCAGAGGCGAATGGTAAAAACACACACACACACACATACTGCATACAGACACACACATACACACATAATGCATGCAGACAGACACACACATACACACATAATGCATGCAGACAGACACAAACACACACACACACATATACAGTATATACAGAAAAACAAACACACATAGTTGACCAAGTCGACTAATTGAAGGAACCATCAAAGCTCTTTTGGTGAAACAAAAGTACTTATTTGTACTCCATTTGAATTATACATTCGAGCAGAAATTACACATTCATTAGTATTAATAGTAAGTATTTACATTCCATAGTTTATGGTGATTTGTTTGTACATTGTTATATTGCCTACTGAGGTTATGGTATACACATAAATGTGCATATACACAGTAAAACAATAGCATTTCCAATACTGCTAATGCAGGAAGGAAGTAGAAGCAGGCCTGTCACAGTGTGCACATCATACTACCCCTCATCGGAGCCCTAACACGTTCATCTTTGTCCAACCTGGTCCGACCTCTCTCCTTCTGAGAGCTCTGTGTGTGCACCTGTGTCTCACTGCTGTTCCTCACACACTGCTCTTTTTGCTGCTCTGAACCATAGACTTGTAAATAGAAAATGGATGTATTATATTACTTAGATAGAGTATAGCTGTTTAAACCGGTCTCCACGTGGACAAGGGGCCACCCGCGGACCAGCTTGAACTTACACGGACGATAATGAGATTTCATCTTCAATCAGTTAATTTAAGTTAAATGGCTCAACCTCAGCTGACTGGGAACCTACAGCTTTGACGAAGGATGGAAAATGTGAGGATTTTAGTGTCTCCTTTGATCCTGAACTTTTTTATTTTGAAATCCATCAATTTTCTACAAATCAACACTTTGGTGCAATAAATTCTGCTCGCTCTAGTCCCGCTCTGATTGGTTGCCGCCGTCCACAGCAACCTTTAATTAATCAGAATGCTCACGCGCAATTCTGGTTCTACGGAAGTAGAACCACTGCGCACCTACTGTAAAAGAACCAGAGCTGGCCAAATTATGTCATTTCCACTAGTCTTTGAGATATACACTATACAATACAATACAATTTATTCTTGTATAGCCCTAGGTCACAACAGAAGTCATCTCAGAGGACTTAACAAAACCATTGAAATCACCAACACAGGTCAGAGAATCAACAGTTAAAACACATGAAAAATATAAAGCACACACAGAAGAAAATGTCCATACATGTTGTAGAATGCTAAAGTGTCCTGATCATCCCCAATCCTTTCTGTTGGACACTAACTGTCCAACAAGACCCTCCTGCATCGGCAAGGAACAACTCTTAAAAAAAACCCAGTGGGAAAAAGTGAGAAACCTTGGGGAGAACTAGGGAAACCCACAGGGAGGGAGACCCATTTGAGAAAGGGATCCGCTCCTCCGGACGGACAGGCTAATGATCCAGGACCTACGCTACAGTGCGATCATGTCCCTATTACAGGAACAGGACATTGATTTATATATATATTTTGGAGACCTGGGACTTTATCTTGGTTCTGCTTTAATGAACCAAGTCCCACCCCTCACCCATGCAGACTTTCAGTTTAGAGCTTTGTAAAACATTACCATCATACTTCACTCAAATTGTTTAGGTTTTAGTAATAAGTAGGTTCTCCTATTGCATGTTAAATATTATAATAAGTCTGGAGCGCATTCTGCAATCTATTTTCCTTTTTCTGTTTATGACATCATTGACGAGTGACCTTATTAACGGCGATGCAGGTTTATCATTGGTCATCTGCCCCTTATGGACCAATGGATCTACGTGTTTTTTTTATCTCTGCATTTCCTATGTTTGAACTGCTCCATTCTCTGATCTGTGTTGGCGAATCGACAACTTTGTAAAGTCTTCCGAGATAAGGCCCTTATGATTTACATATATAAAAATAAATAGAATCGTCCCATTGACCTACGAAGTTCTATTTTTTATGAATAACACATGTGTGTGTATCAAACACACACAGTTGTAGGAGAGCAAGCTGTCTGTTTGGGTAAAATTCCAACTCGGGCATTACCGTCACTGTGAAGTGAAACCGCAAAACCCATGTGTTGTTATTCAATGTGAAGTGAAGCCCTGGAATACATTATGTGATGTGGTTGTGTGTCCAGTCTTGTCATGTTTGGGGACCTCCCTGGCATGGTCCATGCGGTTTGCAAGCATGACAACAAAAATATAAAAACAAAAATATTTGGAAGTTCCTTTGCCTTAAAAAAAAAAAAAAGTCTCCTTCCTATATTTTGGGCTATAAATAAAGCCTCTTTATTCAATTAATAATCAATTCTGCATGAATTTTCAGAGACAAACAGAGTATAGGTAGTCATTACTAGTTCCTTGATCTATAGAAAATTCACTTCAGCCTTCACTTTCTTTCCATGCCGATGCAGTGTCTAAGGACAGTGATGTTCCAGACTATTTAAGGACATTGGTCTTTCTGCGTCCTTTAGTCCAAGGGCTCCTCTGTGTTTGTTATTATTGTATTATCCTGTGTTCGAACTGTTTGGTTCTCCAATCTGTTTTTCAGGAATCGAGAACTGTGTAAAGTCCTCAGAGACGACTGCTGTTGTGATTTAGAGCTGTAATAAATTCACTGAGTCGTATTGTTTAGAATGTTTGGATTCTCTT